ACATGCCGCCATTTTCCATCTGATACCTCACTCCTCAGAGCCGCGTTTCGCGTACATGGATCTCCCACCCCTTTGAATGTTTGCGACACCTTTGCATCGCTTCTGCCGCCGATGTTCAATGCGCACCAAAGTGCTTCTTTTTCCGTCCGTCACCGTCAACGGTTCTCACGTCTTGTAGATCATTCTTGATTGATGGCTTCATCGCTCATGCAATTGCAATCTGTACTTTTTTTGAGGAAGATGCTGTTATTGAAGTCGTGTATGAGACGTCTTGGGAGAGGCGACGAGAGCGATAAGAGTTCAATTCAATCCGAATCCTCAACCCATCCTTCACACATGGCTCCGGCTGTATTCAAGGCCGCGTGACAGGAGTCTGAGTGGTGCGACGTCGCGTTGGATCGTCCGCATGAAGAGAGGGGCCCGTGCAGCCATGGGATGCACGGCGCGTTGCCAGCCTCGGTGCTGGTCGAGTCAGAGTGCTGCTGAGATGCGCGCTGCGCCCATTCCGATCTGGACGCAATCAAAAGAAATCGTATCTGAAGGTGAATTTATGATTAGAAGCAAAATCAAAATCACGAATAGAATAAATTGATGAGCTCGCGCGCATCCTTTTCTTCCTCCTGCAACTCGAGATTCACGACCTACATCCATCACACCTTGGCATCGCGCTGGCTCCAGCAGCGCTACCTCGGATCTGCCCTCTTCGCAGTCGCTACACCACCGCTTAGCGCAACCTTTCCTAGGCGGCGATTCACCTCAGCTCAGCCGGAGCGCGGATAGAGGTCAGAGGTCAGCGTCAAGTGGCTGCCTATGCCCAAGCGTCCACACCCTCACAAGTACTCGTGACTGTCAGTCGCACTCAAGCCTCTGTGTCACCGCTTGTCCCACGTTCGCATGCCCCACCATTGCGCCGCACGATGGATCTGCTGACGCAGGTGCTGTTGGCGCTGGTCGTCGTACTCAGCATCGCCTTGTACACTCGAACCGCAGCCTCGTCTTCCCCCCATCGCAATGACTCCATCGCCTCATTGCAAGGCGCTTCGGTCAGCAAGAACAAGAAGCGACGAAAGAAGCAGCAGTCGGCGCCCTCAGCCGAAGGACCTGGCGTGGAGAACAAGCCAGTAGCTGATCAGGTTTCTGCCACTACGACTGCGGCAACCGCATCCACACCAGAGACTCCGAAGCGTGGTTGGGGACCTGCCGCGCACGCAAGTCGCATGGCAGAAGAGGAGGATCGAAGGAAGGCAAAGCAGCGGCAAAAGCAGATGAAGCAGAGTGAGAAACAGACAGCAACAGCAGCAGGAGGATTGTCGGATGGGGCTGCAAGCTACAGCAATGTCGCAGCCGAGCAGCCTAGCAGCGACGCCGTCACGGTCGACCCGGTCAAAGACGAGGGCCATCGTCCTGATGCCGGGGTTACACCAGCCTCAAAGAATTTGGGGCAGACTGCGACAGAAAGCAATGAAGCTGTAGTTGACGAAGCGGCTGCGATTTCTGCCTCTGCGCAAAAGGTCGAGACTACTCCCACTCAGACACGTGAAGTCAAGGCCTTTGCAGATCTTGATCGTGAGTCAGGAAATCTCCGCATGTTGCAAATGGCTTGGCTTGCATCCACATCGCATGCAGTTGATCTCATGGCTTCTTTCCTGTCCAATCGCTACGTATAGCGCCTTCTTCCTCACAACTCTTGAGCCCCAACACACGAGCATGGGAATCGGTAAGCGGCAAACGAGGTGAGCATCAGTCGGACGCACACGCTTTGCACACAAGGTCACAGCACAGACACCTCATGTCTCGACTAGGCAAGTCTTGTACTCATCCATCCTTCCTTGTCTTA